CGAAAAATCAATTCGAAAGTGGTTCGGAGCATGCTCACCTGGTCACATTATGCATTCCGGCAGCGGCTGAAACACAATGCCGAGGAAACAGGCGCGATGGTAATCATCCAGGATGAGGCGTACACCTCCAAGACCTGCAGCTATTGTGGGAACATACAAGAAGAGTTTATAAATGCGGAAACTGTCATACGGTTATTATTATGGACAGGGACGTAAACGGAGCCCGCGGGATCTTTCCTACGGGCGTTGCTTGATGGAGCCATCCACATGTGGATGTAGGAATTGATGATCTAACGATTATTATGATGTGTTAAAATCCATCCGCAATGTCGCTGTGTTGCATCATGTATTGTAAATTTACCAAATAAAGTATACGGAGGAGGACCATCATATGATTGGAAAAACAATTGGAGCAAGCCGATAATGCTTCTCCAATGGATTGGTTGTTGTTCTTTGTTGTGCGCTATATAGCCAATTGTTCTTATTGCCGCAACTCCGCAAATCGGAAGTAAAATGTATTTTTAATAGGTTTACCTTATTTGCGTCATTCTGAGTCACACGAATACTGTATGTATTAGCAGTATACGTTTATAAGCAACAGTTACTGTAATAATTGGAATTTTTCCTTTCGTCGGATTATGGAATCCGAAATGTGACCAAATACTACCGTATATAGTCTTATTGTATATATAAAAATAGATCGTAAATAAAACAACCAGTTGGTCCCGCAAGAGATTATTTGGTTGTATTCGTACACCATTTTTAATCCGCGGTTTCGGATAATTTGAAGAGTACTATTACTATTATTATCTCTGTTACTATGGGGGGCGGGTCACGATGGAGAGGGGTATGTTTCACAACGATACGCCGTTCCGGGTGTGGTAGTAGACCGCTATCATTCTAAACGAAGACAGCAAAATACTGGAAATTGGTAAAGATTGTCAAAAACCGGCTGTTGAATGAATAGAGTCTCTTTGTCTTGGCAGATTTGGCCGATATTGTAATGCCTTGTTAAATTGATTCATCAATAAGTTGGCCGCCTTGAAGTAATTTTATAAACGGCATATTCCAGAATCATAATCATAGAGCGCAGTCAGTAAATAGAAATAACACGCAGCTATTCCAAACTCGAGCATAACGGATATTCCGAAAGACCGAGTTTATACTACAAGAAGTTTTCACTGAAAAATAAAATATATTTCTGAAATTGAAAAATTAATACTATACAAAATTTATTAAAACAATTGTCGAATAACACTCTATTTGAATAAATGTGATACTCGTATATACATATTTATACAATTAAACGATCGATACATATTATCCTATTGACAAAGATATTTGATTTCCATTTTTTCCTTCCTACAGTTAAGAGAGAGAACCAGTTAATAAATGAATAATAAAATTCAATGCACATGACCTACTTACGCTGTCAACTCTTTCTTGTTTGCTGTGATTGCGTTGTATAATTCTTTGTATCTGTTAGCAGCTTTTGGAAGACTCTTGGCCACAACATTGTGATAAACGTTTTTACACGAGTTTGGCATGCGTCCATTGCCCAGTCTTCTTGCAATGTTTGCCCATCCTATACGTTCTATGTCATGCATATAATAAATAATGGCAATCTCTTCCTGTGTGAATGGTTCTTTGTTGACTGTTTGATTAAAAACCACGAGTTTAGAAATTTTATTGACAGTGTTGTCATAATTAGCAAACGTTTAAAAGATGTGCTTTACTATTACCGCCTGTCTGTATAGATAGCCATCGTTCTCGCATCTGCTTGCCGTTCCGAGTGGGATGGTAGATAGAGTGTCTTTCCCAATTTCTTGTGCCAAATATGTTTACAATCGCCAAGAGCATTTCATCTTCCTATCATCCATTAACAAGTATATAATAAGAGCGATATTGGAAAAGCAGTCGAAGCACACTGTCAGTCACATTTACCAATTTACTCCAATGCCCTCTATTCACTTTCGGTTTTGGGGAATTAATGTTTTGTTTAAATGTGCAAGTTTTATATTCATTTGTCTCTTCTGAACCCATGGCCTGGTTGCATGCAAAATTATCTGCATCCTATCATTTATTAAAGCCATAAGACAATGGTTTCGGGATACCAAAGCAGCAGTCAGTTGTAAGTATATGCATGAATTACCAATTTGCTATTGTAGGTTTCGGGGACATGCGTTTGCTTCCGACAACACGTTGCGTTGCTTGAACAAGTTTCGTCAGAACTCGCCCTTCGATTTTGATGAGATTTCTTTTTCGAAACACGTTTTGTCATTGTCAAGGGAAAGCGTAAGATTAACAATTAGACAAACGGAGTATGTTTGCATATATATTTGTCATTAGATGTTTGTACTCTTTTATAGTTGGTAACTCAAGAATGCTAATAAAGGTAAACTGTATAGGGAAAAACTGGTACAGTTACAGTGTGCACGGAATACAATTTATTTTCAGATCTGCAAAACAATCAGAGTTACGATAATTAATTGTTTTGCAAACTGAATGTTACAATAATGGCAACGACACACAAACTGCGTGCTATAAAGGTAAATGTGTTATTAATCAGACTATCCGAGTCATCAAGAATTATAAATTGTTACATGAATCCCGTCTATCGAGTTACATGATTTATCAGTCATATCAAACGTATCAAACGACTGTCCCCCCACCCCTTTTGCTTTTTCCTTTCCCAAGATTAGATAAATTTCCGGAGTATACTCCGCTGCGGTAGTCAGATTCCAGTATTTTGTTACACACAAATTTATTCCGTATTAAAAAAAAAAAAAGCCAACAAACGCTTGTCTTAAGGGGGCTTGCCGTACAATATTAAACTTATTCTAACGTCTTAAACATATTTATATTATTATGTACTGTATATATGTAATTATTTATACACTTTCTATAAAACGAAAAACGCAGCGTACAGGGGAGAGATTTTATATACAAAGTAATAAGGGTTGATGCATATTATTCTATTAAGTTGTTGATATCCATTCTATTCTCGGACTCTACCGAGTTCTGATCATTCCGAGTCTCGACCGTACACGGACAATGAAGTTCGTTTGGTTCACAAGACGCTGAAGGAATGGAATCAGCGAACGTTACAAGAAAATCTATTGCCATCTTGTCATCGCTAATAAATTTGAGAATTGTTAGTAAGAAATTCGATACATACAAATAACGTTTGTAATTACTTACGCCGACAACTCTTTCGTGCTTATTTTATAATATAACT